ATCCATTTTTTCCCCTCCTGACCCTCCTGTCCCACTGTCACCCCTTGGCCAGCAGCAGGGTCCCTCCCAGAGCGGTGGCATCGTCTCTCTTGGGCACAGAGGAGGCTCCTGGCACCTCCCCGCTGTGCCCACGCCTTTGCCCATGCCTGTGCCCCCACTGCTGCCAGGAGCTGCCCTGCAGAGCCACTGACCCTCACCCTTCTTGCCTTGCAGGGATGGCCGAGAGCAGCCAGGTCCTGGCTGCCGGGGGGCTGAGGGGCGCCCCTGACAGCGCCCAGGTGAGCCAGGGCTGTGGGGGGCACTGCCAGGGGGCTGGCACTGGCTGGGCTGGCCTCACTGGGTTCCATCTCCTATTAACCCGCTTCAAAAACAAACCCAAATGTTGTGTTTCCTCTGCATTTGGCACCCCGAGCGCAGTGAGGCTGCTGGGGGCCCCTCTCCTGCTCCTACCCTGTTCCCAAACCCCCTGAGCAGCTCCTGCACGTCCTTCTCCAGGGCTGAAAGTCTCCAAATTTCCACGTTCTGACGATTTTAGTGTAATGTGGAAGGAGTGGGCAGGGCCTGAGCTCTGATGCGGCACTGGGGAAATGCCCTTGGAGGGTCCTGGGGGGTTCTGCACCCCCCGGGCTGGGCAGGGGCTGAGCCGGGTCCCGGTGCTGCCTCGCAGGACGTGGCTGAGCCCAGGGAGGGCGAGGGGAGCGAGGGCCTGGCAGCCCCCCCAAAGCTGGGCAACCTGGAGGACACGTATGAGCTGCTGGAGAAGCTGGGCAGGTGAGCAGGACCTGGGCAGGGGGATCCGGGCAGGTCAGGGGCACCTGGGCATGTGAGGGGGATCTGGGCAGCTGAGAGGGATCCAGGCAGGTCAGGGGGATCTGGGCAGGTGAGCAGGACCTGGGCAGGGGGATCCGGGCAGGTCAGGGGGATCTGGGCAGGTGAGGGGGATCCAGGTAGGTCAGGGGGATCTGGGCAGGTAAGCAGGACCTGGGCAGGGGGATCCGGGCAGGTCAGGGGGATCTGGGCAGGGGGACCTGGGCAGGTGAGTTGGATCAGGCAGGTGAGTGGGATCTGGGCAGGTGAGCAGGACCCATCCCAGGTGAGCAGGTCGCAGGCAGGCGAGCAGGACCCATCCCAGGTGAGCAGGACCCAGCCCAGTGAGCAGGACCCAGCCCAGTGAGCAGGTCGCAGGCAGGTGAGCACGGGGCAGGCAGGGATGCAGGCAGGTCCAGCGGGGCACAGGCAGCGACCCCAGCTCCACCGGAGCCCCAGGGGTGCCCGGATTTGTGGGTTCCTCCCCGGCCC